ATGCATCATGAATTTCAGATGAAGGATCTTGGCTCTCTCAAATATTTTCTTGGGTTGGAAGTTGATCGCACCAGTGATCAGCTTCTCTTACATCAGACCAAATATGCAGGGAACTAATCCATCGAGCAGGAGTGGACTCATGCACCACCGCACCTACACCAATCAGCCCCAGCCAGTCGACTAACGGTGCAGACGTGCCATTCCACAACCCACGTTTGTTTCGCAGCTTGGTCGGCGACCTGCAATATTTAACTGTTACCCGTCCAGATATACAGTTCACAGTCAACTATGTGGCTCAGAAAATGCACAGTCCGATGGAACAAGACTTTCACACTCTCAAACGCATTCTTCGGTATGTCAAAGGAACAATTTTGTGTGGTATTACTTTTTCCAGAAGAGACCTTCGTCTTCGCGGCTACTCCGATTCTGACTGGGCAAATGATCCGTCGGACAGCCGCTCAACAACCGGTTATCTCATCTTCTTTGGACCAAATTTGATCTCCGTGAACACACAAAAACAGGGACGGGTATCAAAATCCTCCACGGAGGTTGAATATCGAGCTCTATCGGCTGCAGCCTCGGAAGTCATGTGGTTCACCTATCTTCTAGCCGATCTTCATGTTTCAACACCGTCGCCAAGCTTGTATTGCGACAACAAATCTGCGATCTGTCTGACCAAGAATCCTTTCTTCCACAAGCGCATGAAGCACGTGGGCAAGGACTGTCATTTTGTGCGTGAACAGGTAATTGATGGAGCCATGACAGCTGAGTATGTTTCCACCGAGGACCAGCTAGCGGATTTTCTCACAAAACCGTTACCATCTCAGCGTTTTCAGTATCTTCTCTCCAAGCTTCCTCTTACTTCCGCCAAGACTCAGCTTGAGGGGGGATGTTATATAGAAAATATAATTACTTAGTTATGTTGGGGTTATTATGTAATTACTTATAGTCTACAACTATATATATTGTACAAGACTCTAATTATTGGTTAACATTATTCATAATAATAATATTCTATCAATTATCATATTAAGTTTTAATTTAATGGTCATGGAACTCTCCAATTACTTTTAAAATAGGCCGACTTCCAACATGCTTCCCCATATATACATATTGTGTTGCATAATTTGGCGTATTCTCTTCTCTGTCCATTTTGGTTAAGTCTAATGCTAATTTTCATTTCTTTTTTTTCATGCATGAAAATTTTCCGGGTCCTACAAACTTCATCCTTGCATTCTCCTTTTGGCTATGGGGGGCCAATTCTTTATTTCTAGCCAGCCTACCTTTAAAAATTGATGAACAACTTCCCCCCCCCCCCGGGCCGAAGTTAAAGAATTTGAAGCAGACCGAATGTTGAAGGGGTTAGGTCAAAAGGCCATCATCATTTTGCTTTCAAATTATATTTTGTAATTTAGGTCTAAGACTTGTAAATTTTACTTACTATTATTTTGCTAAAAATTTAGGATATGTACAAATTGAATGGGCCTAAGGCCCAAAATAAAATGGGTCCAAAAACTGGTTCAGGAGGACAGAAATTGGATTTGGACTCAACTCTCTCGCATTATCGCGTACTTATATGTTGTTAATTGTTGTTACTGTTAGAATTAAATTTCAAATCCCCACAAGACACCGTTTGTTTTATCTATCTAAAATCAATCGACTCTTAAGAGACTTGAAAAATATTAAAGTTCACAACCTAGAAAACCCACTTAGATAGTAAATTGATATTTCAAGGATTTCAAATAAAATCAAAATAAATTACATATTTTATCTTAATAAATTAGTTGATGGATAACCGCAAGTAAGCGGGTGTTTTAAATGCTTTAAAACCATTTCGAAAACACTAATAAGAACCCCATACACCCCTTAAAAGTTTTCACTAGATTTCCTGTTTTAATCTTTTGAAAACAAAGGTTTCTGTATTTACTAAAAATCAAGTGTCGAATCTAAATAATCAAAAAACTAACTAAAAATATTTTTTCCGAAATAAAACAGAATGACGACTTTGCTGGGGATTTGAAGGATTCTAATCTTAAAACTAACCTGTTTGTCTATGTGCAAATGATTGTTTACTTGCTTACTTTATCATATTATTAAACTGTTGCATTTAATGACATAAATTCCGCTAAACGGCAAGTGGATTGCATTAGGAAAAAAGGCGGTTACGTGACTTACCACGACTGTCCTTCAGAAAACAGACAAGTCATTTTTTGGAAGTAATGAACGGATAGTTGACTTGCGATCATCCAACTTCATTTATTAGCTTCGCCCAGTTGTTTATCCGACGCAACCGTCACTTCTGAGCAAATTCTAGTTAACCTAGAAAAAAGCGAAAACAAATTTAAATTTTAAGCATTAGCCTAATATGACCTAATATCCAAGGCTTATTAAGTCCATTAGTGAAACTGCCAAAAAATCATGTTCAAGGTCCTCGACCTAACCACATACCATATTATTTGGCATTTGAATGATGTATGTGTAGAAACCTAATTTGGGGTGGGGAAACTTAACCGGGTTACATTTTGTAGGTATGGATAGTTTTCCAAAGTTTGACATGGTTGTGGAAGCCCCACCTTTACTCAAGATGTGGTACAATGACCTTGACGGAGATCACAGAAGAACCTTAAACAAATATATGGGTGTCTTAACTGAACTACCCAATATGATTGGTTGGCTTGAGCTAATCGAAGTCCTCACAAGCTATTGGGACAACGAGAAAAAAGTGTTTTGATTTGTAACCGTGGTAATTACTCCTACAATTGAGAAAATTTGGTACTGCATTAACATAGTTGGTATAGGGTTGGAAAGAAAGGTGAGGAACCAAGAAGACATTTTGATCCCTAACAAGCCGTCTTCTGAAGATACTACAAACTAGCTTGGATTGGGAAGAGATTATGCTTATTGGGCATTGGGCCCAAGATTCTAGTATCTTGTTTATGGACCTCTACGTTAGATTTGGGAATTCAAGCTTTTATGCAAACTAAAGTAAAGAGTTCACAATTATCTACAACGAATGGAATAAAATCCGACTTTTAGCGTCACCATTGCACTATTGGGTACTATGGTAGGAAAACAAATGATTTTGGGATAGTTTTCTCCTCATTTGACTTCTCCATATTCATCCATTGGAAGAATTTTTTGATTTCAGAGCAAAGCTATAAATCTGCGTCCAAAGAAAAATTATTTAGTTTTAAAAATGAACTGATCTGTGTCGATTTCTTCAATTGTCTGCTCCTTGTCCTTCTATCTCCAGTTGATTTTCGGATCTCCCGACTCTTCATAGATAAGATAAAATATTTTATGCCAAAACAAATGAAATGAAAAAGGGAAAATTTAAAAGAAATAGATTTTCCAGAAATAGTATCTAAAAAAGGTCACTGTCAAGTCATATCATATTTGGCCTAACAAACTTCTTTGAGTCTGATGCTTGAAGGTTTATCTAATTATTTATTGGGGGGTTTTCAGAATCACTCCAGGCTTGTAGATCCATGATGAAATTTTGAGGTCATCCTTAAAATTTCTATCCTAGTTAACTGTCTTGCTTATCTTTCTACTGTAACTGAGTAGATCACGGAATTTTTGAGATCTTCTCAAAAATTTTGTCCCAGTTGCGAATCTCAAAATATCTTCAGTCTTGAATAGAAATCTTACAGGAGATATGACCGAACCGTTGTGGTGCCTACGTATCCCATTGAGGCAGGAATCAGGTCAAACGCAGTTCCTCTCAAAGGTTAACAAAGATAAGAAACTTACAAGTAACCGATTGAGGCCTACATAGGCTGCCTACGTATCTCATTCTTGAGAATTCAGGTCGAACGTAGTTCAAATACAAAGAAATATTAAAAAGGAATAAATGGGGTGACCGAGGCCGACAAAGGCCACCAAAGTATCTCATTCCTGAGAATTCAGGTTAGACGTAGTTCATCACAAGAGGGATAAAATTTAAACCAAACAGATACTAGCAAAATAGAACAATTACAAGTAAATGACAGGAATAAAAGCTGAAACTTTACACATATTTTCTCTTGAAAGCATCTGAGTTGAATGGTTTTGGCCACGTAGTGCCATCCATCTCTGACAGGACCAAAGCACCTCCAGATAATACTTTACGAACCATGCAAAGTTCTTGAAAGTTTGGTGCGAATTTTCCTTTATACTCATCTTGATGAGGAAAAATGGTCTTAAGTACTAACTGATCGATTTCAAAAGTTCTAGCTCATACTCTTTTATGAAAAGCGCGAATCAGCCTCTGTCGATACAACTGGCCATGACAAACGGCAAGCATTCTCTTCTCATCAATCAAAGTTAGTTGATCAATCTGCTTGCTGACCCATTTAGCGTTAGTTAACTCAACTTCTTGGATGATTCTCAAAGACAGTATTTCGACTTCAACAGGTATGACTACTTCTGTCCCATACACTAGCAAGTATGGAGTAGCTTCAATCGACATTCTGACAGTCGCCCCATAACCCAATAAATCATATGGCAACATCTGATGTCAACCTCGGTGATTGTTAATTATTTTTCTCAGAATCTTCTTGATATTCTTATTGGCGGCTTCTACAGCTCCATTCATTTGAGGGCGATAAGCGGTTGAGTTTTGGTGAGTGACCTTAAATTGCTGACATATATCTCTCATCAAGTGACTATTAATATTTGCCCCATTATCAATAATGATCGATTTTGGTACTCCAAACCTGCAAATCAAGTTGTTGCGAAAAAATCCATCATAACTTTCTTGGTTACCGACTTGTACAAAGATGCTTCCACCCATTTGGTGAAATAATCAATGGCAACCAAAATAAATATGTGTCCATTAGAAGCGACTGGCTCTACCGGACCGATGACATCCATACCCCAAGCTACAAATGGCCAAGGTGATCGCATAGCATTAAGTTCGTGAGGTGGCACCGGATCAAATTACCGTGCACTTGACATTTATGGCATTTTCGCACAAACTTGCAACAATCATTCTCTATAGTCATCCATAAATACCCGGCTCAAAGGATATTTCTCACCAAAGTGAGCCCATTCATATGTGTACCGCAAACTCCAGAGTATATATGTTCAATCAGCTTTGCAGCATCAACACATCTGAGGAGGCCCAAATCTGCAGTCCTCTTATAAAGGATTTCTCCACTTAGAAAGAAATTGGGAGCCATACGGTGTATCGACTTCTTTTGGTTGGATGTTGCATCTTTTGGATAATTTCTGCACTCCAAATACCTCTTGATATCGAGATACCAAGGCAAACCGTCTGGTTCCGCTTCAACATGTGAACAATGGACTAGATGTTCTTTTATCTCTATACCCATATGATCAACATAATCAGTATACGGATGTTTAATCATTGAAGCGATGGTGTCAAGAGCATCGGCCAACTCATTTTGTATTCTGGGAGTATGTCTGAACTCGATCTCGCGAAATCTTTGGCACAACATCTGTACATACCGCATGTAAGGTATAATCCTCAGGTTCTTCACGGTCCTTTCTCCTTGAACTTGATGTATCAACAGATCTGAATCGCTGATAACCAATAACTCTTAGATGTTCATGTCGATGGCCATTTTAAAACCAAGAATGCAAGCTTCATATTCAGCCATGTTATTTGTGCAATTAAATTGGAGTTTAGCAGCCATGGGATAGTGTTGACCAGACTCTGACACTAAGACTTCTCCAATACCTTTACCTTTATGATTTGCCACCCCATCAAAGAATAGTTTCCAACCTGGATATGCTTTAGAAATATCTTCACTCACAAATGACACTTCTTCATCGTGAAAATAAGTCTTAAGTGGTTCATACTCTTCATCTACGGGAACTTTTGCAAGATGATCAGCCAAAGCATGTTCCTTAATCACCTTCTGAGTCACATACACAATATCAAACTCACTTAAAAACATTAGCCACTTAGCTAATTTTCCGGTCGGCATCGCCTTCTGGAAGATATACTTCAGCGGGTCCATTCTAGAAATGAGGTTTGTAGTATAAGAAGACATATAATGTCTCAACTTCTGGGAAAGTGAAGTCAAAGCACAACACGTTCTCTCTAACATAGTGTATCGATACTTGTATGGAGTAAACTTCTTTCTTATGTAATAGATATCTTTGTCCTTCTTTCATGTCTCGTCATGTTAACCGAGTACGCATCCGAAAGCACTATCTGATACGGACAAATACAACAACAAAGGACTCCCATCTTGCGGAGCAACCAATATCGGTGGATTTGACAAATAGTTCTTGATAGCGTCGAAAGCAATCTGACACTCTTCAGTCCACTTTGTCGTAGCGTCTTTCTTCTACATCTTGAAGATAGGCTCACACACCATGGTTGATTGAGCTATGAATCGACTGATGTAGTTTAACCTCCCTAAGAAAATCATCACCTCTTTTCTCGTCTTCGACGGAGGTAACTCCTGAATTAGTTTAATCTTAGAAGGGTCGATCACAATACCCCTTCTGCTGACTATAAATCCCAACAACTTTTTGGCTGGAACTCCAAAAGCGCATTTGGAGAGATTTCAATTCAAGTTGTAATGATGCAAACAATCAAAGAATTTCCTTAGATGTGTCAAGTGGTCCGAACTCTTGAGAGACTTATTATGAAGTCATCCACATACACCTCAATCTTTTTATGAATCATGTTATGAAATATGATTGTCATAGCCCTCATATAGGTAGCACCAGCATTATTGAGGCCTAATGGCAACAGTATGTAATGATATACAACCCAGGGTGTAATAAATGTTATATTTTCTGCATCTTCCTCGCCTATTAGAATCTGATGATAACCTGCGTAATAATCCACAAATGACTGGATTTCATGCTTAGCACAGTTATCAATCAAAATATGAATATTTGGCAACGAAAAATTATCCTTTAGGATAGATTTGTTGAGATCCTTATAGTCGACACAAATTCTGATCTTCCCGTCTTTCTTGACAACCGGAACAACATTGGCTAACCAAGTCAAATATTGTGTCACTTCCACCAATCAAGACTCAATCTGCTTGGTAATATCTTCTTTGATCTTTAAACTCAATTCAGGCTTGAACTTTCAAGCCTTTTGATTCACTGGATCGAACCCGAGATTAATCGGCAGTTTATGAGATATAACGTCGGTATCAGCCCTTGTATGTCACCGACTTCCCAGACGAACACATCAACATATTCAGCAAGCAAATGAATTAGGCCTTTTCTTTGAGTTTCATTTAAGAGGATGTTGATATTAACCTCTTTAGCGCACTCTAGGTCTCCCAGATTTATCATTTCCACTTCCTCTAGATTCGGCTTATGCTGGTTTTAAACTGCCAAAATTCCTTGGCAACATACTCTGGTTCCTCACTTTCCTCTTCATAATCATCAACCCTGTCATCACCTGCCTCATTTCGTTCATTCAACTCGTGACATGACATGACATTGGCAGGTTTAACACTTACATTAATGAAACCATAAACAAACAAAATTAGACAATCAAAATATAACAAATGAGTAAAAACAAATTATTTTTTTTAAAAGAGGGTTTCATTCAAATTGAAAAACAATGCTAACTTTGGTCATGGAATACGGCCATGTTGCCTTCTTTGAACATCATGATGGAAATTCAAAAATTCAAACAGTTACGAAAAATGCAAAATGGTGGGTCTCGAGCCTCTTCTGGACTACCGCCGATTTAAATATTCATAAAACGATGCCCTTCTACCAAGGAGTTCGGGGAATTAGGATGGGCGTGGAGGTCCAATTCTGCAGCATCTCTCCTGGCTCAGCATCACGGAATCTTATCAGCTCCACCTCTTCTTCAATGATAGCACCGATCTCTTCAAAAAGTCCACAGATTCCCTCCCTAAGGTCCTCCTGCTCGGCATATTCATCGACAGGGAAAGATTGATATAGGTGAGGGACTGGCTTGGCCAATGCTTGATACTTCTTCTTCTTTTTCTTCTCATCATCATCTGTAGGGACGTACCCCATCCCATACTTTTCCCCTTTGACAGGAACTTGAATGGGCTCAACAATTCCTTGGGAATTACTTCCCAATTCGAAACCTGGTTCAAATCCTCTTTGCAAAATCATAGTAGAAATCATGTTATACACAGAAGGCATGAGAGTTTGTGGGACCAAGTCTTTATCGGTGGTATTTACCAGCTCCACCGTGTAGAAATCAGTACCTTGAGACACTTCATGAATAATCATTGTCTGTCTGCCAGAATGACTATCTTCGCCATGAATGAATCGCTCTTCATTTTTCCTGACGAGCTTCATCATCTAATGCAAGGTAGAGGGCACAACTCCAGCCATGTGAATAAACGGCCTTCCCAGAAGAAGGTTGTAGCTGGTATCAATGTCCCCGACTTGAAACTGTGCATTGAATTCTCCTGGACCCACTTGGATGATCAGATTCATCGCTCCCAATGTATCTCTCTATACTCCATCGAAGGCTCTTACATTGACTTGGTTTTGTTCCATATTTCCCAAGTAAAACTTTAGCTGCCTTAATGTTGACAATGAGAAAATATTCAGACCAGATCCATCATCCACCAAAACACAATTTACGACCTTCTCGTGGCATACCACGGTGATGTGCAACGCCTTATTGTTTGACCTCCCTTCAAAACATAGTTCATCATCACAAAAGTTGATTCGATGCCCTCAAATAACCTGGTTAATCATAGCGACCACATTATCATTGCTCTTATCGACGGGCACAAACATATCATCAAGAGCCTTCATCAAATCCTGCCTATGATATTGAGAACTCATCAGCAGGGCCCACACAGAAATCTGGGCTGGAGTCTTCTCCAAATGCTTGACAATAGAATAATCTTTCGGCTGCATTCTTCTTCAGAATTCCTCTACCTCACCCTCGCTTATTAGTCTTTTAGCTTGATCCTTATTTTCACCTCCGAGAGCAAGCTCCTCAGGAGTATAACATCTTTCGGATCGGATCATACCTTGTGCAGCAGCAGTCTCAATCACAAATTTTTACTTGATAAGAGTTATTTACGGCACTAAGGTAACAACCTTTGCGGGTGAAAAGATAACAAACTCTTTCATCTATTTGATGCTCAAAACAGCTACAACCTTTTCCAACTCGTCATGAACGATTGGAGTTGTCACTTTCGTCCCACACCAATCATCGTCTTTTACTATCATACTGACATTGTCACCTTCATGATTTGGCAAAGGATTGGTATTGACATTAGGTGCAGCTACTTGGAGCTAACTCACCTCTTGGTCAATTAAATCCTGAATCTTGTTCTTGAGGTTGATACAGTCCTCAGTATCATGCCCTACATTGTTGGAATGATAAGCACATCTTTGATCTGGCCAATAGAATTCTTAATTAATATCCATGGGTTCGGGCCTCACTGAGTGGATATATCTAGCCGCAGCCAGTCGCTCTTATAGCTTTGTTTGGATTTCTGCGAGGGCGGTGAAATTCCTCGAATGTTTCTTTTTGAACCGAGGTCGAGGGGGATCATAACTTCCTTGTGGGGGAGGCATCTGTTAACAACCTCGATTGTTTGGATGGGGAGCTTGATTTCTGGGATATGAGTTTTTCTGGTAGTTTGACAATAGAGCTTGGTAGTTCGGGTGGAGATTTTGATATGGTGGAGCTTGTACTTGATACGCAGAAGGGGGTGCTGGTAGCTCCACTTCACGTTAGCACAGTTGGGAGCAACACCCTAGTAGGGAGATGTAATTTGATAGGGTGGAGGATGATTTGGGTAAATGGGAGAGGGATTTTGGTAATTCGGGGATTGACGTTTATATAGTGGAGCTTGAATGTTTGGATAAGTTGAGGTAGCATTCTGATAAATTTGAGGATTATTAGGATGAATAGCTTGCGTGTAACAAGCTTGGTGGGAATTTTGAGAAGGCCGAGAAAGACCTTGGGAATATGACGAGCTTCTAGGAGTTTTCCTTCCCCATATGAAACAACAACAATTTCTTCTCTTTTCTTCTTTAACGTTCCCGATGATCCGGGTGATGTAGAAGCACGAGAATCTTTCCTGTTTTCAACCTATCTTTAATAGTCTCACCAACTTTGGCTATCTTGACATATTTTGCTCCTACGAGCAACAGGATTCAGTCATAATATTTGAGCTCTTGCACCCACATGAGCACTTCTACAATTTCTTTTTTCAGGCATGGGCAGTCTCACCCTCGCCGCTTCATTTCCAAAGAGTATCGATCTGGAACAATTTCTACGGTGTAAGCGAATCAATCAAAAAAATCTTTGGCCAATGCATTCCAGCTGGGCCATTGCCTGGTTTCATGTGAGGTGAACCATTCAAGAGCTTCTCCACACAGGCTTCGGCTGAAGAGCCGCATCAATAGAGTTTCATCCCTTCCAACTCCCACGAGCTGGTCAAAGTAGGATCTCAAATGAGTCATAGGGTTGCCCACTCCTCCTAAGTGTCAAACTTTGGGATGTTGAACCCTTTTGGAAGGTCCAAATTTGGATGAATACATAAGTCTTCATAACTAAGCCCTGTGATATCTGGGATGCATTGGAGCTCCTTCATGGCCTTCTTGATCTCTTCTTTTATGTCGACCTTTACCTCTTCATTTGACCTCCACTCTTTTTCCTATTCCTCATAAAGGTCCAGCTCAGAACTATGCACATCATGCTCGGCAGGGATAGGGATTTGGAAAGTGGTTCTTTTTGATAAAGGATGAGATATAGAGGGACTCTTGGCATTTTGAGTGGTTTGATAATTCTGTGGGTAAGTCTGTGGATTGGTATTCTTCTTTAAGTGGTGGTGGGGTGTTTGGGGATTGAAAGTATTTTGGTTTTGATTTGGGTTTTTATTTTATGGTGGTGGAATGCTTTGATGATGGGTATTTTGAGGATGGGGTGGAATTCGGGGGTGGTTGTTTTGAGGAGAAGGTGGAGTTTGGTAGGATGCGGAAGAATATTGGGTATTTTGGGAAGTCAGATCTATAACCGATGGATTTTGAG